GTTCTCTGTTCTAGATATTTCATGTCAGCTGGATGACAAGTACTCAATCTCTGTCCTCAGTTTCGTCTTCTGTAGAAGACAGATACTGTTTGCCCTCATACATGCACAGGATTCTTTTAAATATTGAGCAAGATAATAATTGTAAGGATGCTTTAAGAAATAACATTTGTTAAACAAAATTGTAACAAATAATTAGTGATGACAAATAAAAATGACTGAGGAGTTTGTCAATATTAAAGTTACAATGTGTAAGAGTTAGAAGGTTTAGAATCTAAGAGGAAGTGTTTAAAAGTTCTAGTATTAAAAAAATCATAAATAAAGCAAGGATTCCATTATTTCCTACCCTCTTTGGATTTTTTCTAAGAAGACAAGTAATTTTCAAGTAGGTTTACATATGGCATCAATTCTCATGAAAAAGATCAAATAGATATGAATCAAATTCAATGTTTATCAACAAATTAATAAAAATTAGCATATTAATACTAATGAGATGCATTGGCAGATGAAATTCACAAATCCTCCCCAAACAGAAGCATATTGGAAAAGTAGCCTCTGTTAAGGTGGGTAATATTATAAACTCTAGGTGTTGAGTTTTCGCATGCTCTTGTAAACAATTTTTTATTCATTGTCTAATTGTTTCTAAAAAGCACAATATATTGAGAAGAACAACCAAAGCAGCCTTAAATAAATGAAGAAATAGTCCAAGTTAATGGTTTTGACAACACAAGATTATTAAAATGCCATTTCTCTTCAAAATGATCTAAGAGCCAATGCAATTAAAATTAAAAAACAATCAAATTTGTTCATGTAAATATATGTACATGTACTTTTAAGCTGACTCTTAAATATATGGAAATGCAAAACTCTCAGAAGAGATAATTCAATTTGAATAAAAAAAGTTGGGAGATTTACACTACCAGATTTCAAGACTTACTCTAAAGTTATAGTAATTAAGACATGGTGATATTGGTGCAATGATAGATAATTGGACCAATGGAATAAAATAGAGTTATAAATAAACCCTCAATTAATGACAAAGTTAAGAGTATAATCCAACAAAGAAAAAAATGGTTATTTGAACAAATGGTACTGGATAAACTGGACATCCGCATGAAAAAAAAATGAAGAGAAATTTTGACCCTACCATACACCATATGCTAAGATTAACCTAAAGGTGAAAATTAAATTAATCATACTTTTAGAAGAAAACAGAATGAATATTTTCATGCACTTGGAATCCAAGACAAAGATTTTTCAGAACTCAAAAAGCATTAATAACTCAAAAAATTATAAATTAAATTTTTATTAAAATTTAGTAAAATTAAGAACTATTAATGAACAGTAATCATTAATGAAGAGGCAACCACAAACTAAAAAGTGATACTTATAATATATTAATTTACATATAGTAATTATACATGTTACATTTATATACCTTCATATAACTATATTCACATACATACACAATATATACATATAAAATTATATATAATTATTATAAAAATACAAATATAAAGAAGTTGCATCAGGGGCTGGGGATGTGGCTCAAGCGTGCCTGGCATGCATGCGGCCCGAGTTCGATCCTCAGCACCACATACAAACAAAGATGTTATGACGCCGAAAACTAAAAAATAAATATTAAAAAAATTCTCTCTCTCTCTCTCTCTCTCTCTCTCTCTCTCCTTCTCTCTCTTTAAAAAAAAAAAGAAGTTGCATCAAAAAAGTATAAAGGACTTCTACAGATCCCTAACAAAAAGAGATAAATAATCCAATTTAAAATAGGAAAAAGACTTAGACAGGCATTTCTTGTCACTCTTCACAAAAGCATGTCAAAATAACCAATAAGCATTTTAAAAGATCCATTTAATTCATATGAAGAAATTATAAATCAAACAGTGATAGGATACCACTGCTTTACTCCAGAATGCCTAAAATTGAAAGGACTGACAATCACAACTGTTGAAAGGATGTGGAGTGATTGGAACTCTCACATTTTACTTGTGGGAACCATTTTGGAAAATATTTGACTATACCTATTAAAGATAAGTCTGCCCTATGAATCAACAGTTTCCCTTGGTGCAAACACAGGAAAATTGTAATATGTCTACCAAAAGACATGTATAGCTGCATTTTTTTAAATTTTTAAATATATTTTTTTAATATTTATTTTTTAGTTCTCGGCAGACACAACATCTTTGTTGGTATGTGGTGCTGAGGATCGAACCCGGGCCGCATGCATGCCAGGCGAGCGCGCTACCGCTTGAGCCACATCCCCAGCCCAATAGCTGCATTTTTAATAGTTAAAAACTCTAAATGCCCACAGTTCTTCAACAGCAGAAAGGATAAATGAATTGTGATATGTTCATATTATAGAAAACTACTCAGCAGTCAAAAAAAGATTCTGATACATGCAACAACATAGATGGATCTCACAGAAAATGAAGTACATATGTACATATACACATGTAGTACATATGATGTACCACATAGGTTCCTTTAAATGAAGCGCAAAATCAGACAAATGTAATCTGTTATAAAGGAGGTTGGAATATGGGTTTCCTCTGGGAAACTATTTATTGGAAAGGCACATGAGGGAATTTTCTAGGGTGAATGAAACAGTCTATATTTTGATCTGAGTGGTTATTACAAGGATGCATACATATGCAAAATTCATTAAATATACACTTGTGTTTATATGCTGCATATAAATTATATTTCATTTAAAAAATAAAGAGAAAAAGGAAAGAAATGACATTTCATTTTAGAGATATTAAAAGTTAATCTTTCTGAAATAGAATTCTGGATTCTTGGTGTTGGAAGATACCTTAAAGATCAGGCATCTCATTTTGTAGCTGAACTGAAGGACTGGCAGACAGGGTCTTGCCTGAACAAATTATGACAAAGTGGGGATTAAACATCAGAATTCCTAATGACCCTGTCTTTCCTTCTCTTGCACTTCACTTCCCTAAAGCAACCCCAAGGAGAATACTGATACCCCAGTGTGCCTTCTGTTAACTCCTACATCCTAGTAAGATGCCTGGGAATCTTTAATCATTCATCACCTCTGTGGAATTTTCTCTCTTAGTTCCTTCCTGCTACCACATCTCCACCACCAACTTAACTCAAAATTCTGCTTAACTCTCCTATTTTATTTATTCTTCTTTATTCTTCCCTCTGAAGAATTGATCCCTTTCTATATCTGTGATATAACATCTATTCTTTATATCAATATTTATGAGGTATCTACTATGTACCAGGTGCTGTTGCAAAAGCTTGGGATTCAGCAGTCAAGATACAAAAAGTTTCTATCTCTGTGGACCTTATATTTGGATGGTAGAAAAATAAAGTTAGGAATTTATAAGCCATAAAGAATAGGCTTAGGATACAGGAACAGGAGTGCATTTTAGATCAGCTTGTCCACAAAGTCTCTCTGAGGACGTGAATGAATGAAGCAGGTGATGTGTGTATCTGGGAATGAGACTCCTCCATGCATCTGTTAATTTGCCTGCTTTTTTCATGCAAGAGTCTGATGGACTTGAGGGCAAAAATGGTGTCTAAATTCATCTTTCTCTTTTGGATCACTTAGAGACTCAAAAATGCATGTAAAAATAAATGATATAAGCAAAAATGAAAATATAAATAAATTGGATTTCATCAAATTTAAAACTTTTGTGTTTCAAAGGTTACTATCAAGAAATTGAAAAGAAACACATAGAATAGGAAAAAACATTTGCAAATTATATATCTGATAAATTGTCTAGATATTTACATGCCTAGGTCATACAAAGAATTTATAAAACTTAAAAAACAAAAACCTCAATTAAAAAGTTGGCCAGATATTTGAATATACATTGCTAAAAAAAAAATAAATAAAAGATACACAAATGGCCAAAAAGCACATGAAAAGATGTTCACTATCACTATCATTAGGGAAATGCAAATCCAGAACATAATGAGACACCATTCTCTACAATGGCTACAATCAAAGACAATTGCAAGTGTCCACAAGGATGTGGAAAAATAGGGCTGTCACATTGCTGTTGGGAATGCAAAATGGTGCTGACATTTTTGGGGGGATGGGTACTGGGGATTAAACTCAGGGGAACCTGACCACTGAGCTACATCCCTAGCTCTATATTTTATTTTATTTAGAGACAGGGTCTAGTGAGTGCTTAGTACCTCACTTTTGCTGAGGTTGCCTTTGAATGCACAATCCTCCTGCCTCAGCCTCTTGAGCTGCTAGGATTACAGGCATGTGGCACCACGCCCAGCATTGGTGCTGGCATTTTGGGAAATTGTTAGTTCCTCAAAAGTTAAACATGGAGTCACCAGAGGACTAAAAAATTCCACTCCTAGATGTAATAGCCAAGAGAACTGAAAACATATATCCACCCAAAACTTGTAAATGAATGTTATATCCACATTATTTATGAGAGTCAAAAAGCGGAAACAACTAAAATGTCCATCAATTGATGAATGGATAAAGAAAATGTCATATATCCAAACAACGAAATGTTATTCAGCCATAAAAAAGAAACAGAGCACTGATGCATGCTATAGCATGGGTGAGCCCTGAAGACATGATGGTAACTAAAAGTGAAAGTGCGAAATGTTGCATTGTATGTCTCCATTTATAAAGCACGTCCAGAACAGGCAAATCCAGGGAGACAGAAAGTGGATATGGCTGCCAGGACTTTGGGTGTTGGAGGAATAGGGAATGACAGGCAACTTGTATGGGTTTTCTATTGGAATGATGAAATATTCTGGAATTAGAGAGCGATGGATAGTTATGCAACTTTGTAAATAAAGTAAAAGCCACGGAATTGCATACTTTAACGAAATGTTTAGTATGTGAATTAGATCTTAATTTTTAAATGAATGAATAAATGGGTAAATAAAAACCTAAGACACAGCTCAGGCTCTGTGAATTTTACAAATATGAGTTTCCAAAATGCTGTATTCTTGCAAAACAGCAAAATACCCTCATTTAATTCCCACAGTTTTTCCTGCACTTATTCAAGAGGCTGCGGCTACACCATCACTGATGAGAATATCCAGTCCTTCCATACTTGAAGCAGTGAACCCAAACCAGGGCTTTGGCCACAAAGCCAGCCATGCTGAGAGCTCATGAGAACATCTGGATGATGTCAGAATCAGTTTCAACAACACCCAGCATCACCTGATTACAGCTCCACATAGCCCTACAATTCTACAGGGGAAAATGGACTCAGAACAAAAGATGCCTGGGTGAGTTCATTCTGTAACAAGCCAATCAAAGGTAAGTAAAGCAAAGGAATAATAAAAAGAGAAAGAAAGAAAGAGACGGGTACTTTGAACAAAAATAGCAAGTGCTTTTGATCCAGTTGTTTATGTCAGAAATCAATAGAGATGTTTTCTTTCACTTTGGAGAGTTAGAATTGAAATTTGTTGAAATTGGATCTTGAGGCACTTAGAATTTTTTTCCTTGGTACTGGAACAATGGCACACATTCTGTTTACAAGAAGCACTGGCCACTGTGGCAAAAATTGTAGCAATTGTAGTGGTTTTATTCTCAGCTCTCTGTTTTCAGGATGTATAGGCTCAGAGGTATTAATGGATGGTACACAAAGAAAGCCTTTAATCGATTTCTGGAAATATGTAAAATATTTCACTTCAGCAAATGCCTATTTCCACAAATACCATCAAACCTTGATGTTAACAGGAAGGTGTAAGAGTGACAGAGCACCACTGCAAACATCTCTGCATGGAAATTTCATCTCAGAAACAGGAAATGATTATGGTAAACGAACGATCTCGAGATAAAACAGTTTCACAAAACAAACCAAAATGAGTGTGGTGGTGCATGTTAGCTTGCTTTATATGACTTTGTTTTAATTAAGGTCTGATTACCACAGCTGCGACTCATTTACCTAATAACAGAGTTTGATGTTTCAAAATTAAAGAACTTCAGGGCTGGAACCATGGTGTCGGAGCGTGAGAGGGAGCATGTCATGGTAACCTTCAGTGTTCCGATTGTGAATTGCTGTGGGGATTTGCCTAAAGCCCATGAAATTCACGGCAAAGAGAGCATTGTGTTGAGCTATGGAATAAGAAGCAGCTGTCCACTGATGCCTCCAAACAGGCCAGCATAGGCTCTGCATACCCCTCTTGTGACTCAGAAAATTTTTCACCAAAATACCTCCTAACTTATGAGGTCTCTAAAAGATTCCCTGTTTCCCCTGGAGCAAGCACTGTGATCCTGCTGAAATGAGGAAGTTCAGAATTTAACTTTCTTCCTCTACAGTGAAAGTTTATTTCCTTGCTCTTTATTTGAATGAACATGAGATCTGTAATAGGTTTTTCTGGATTGATGGGCCCTTTCAGCTAATGTTCCAGGCAGTTCTAGATTGGACCAGTGCTACAAATACTAAGAATAATTTGCTGGTTGTAACATGTGAAAAGTTATTTCTAATGGAACTATTCACACCAGCCAATCCCTAACATGCCTCCATTTTTTTTTACCCAGATGCCATCCCAGACACCCTTTACTTTTTACCCTCCACCATCCTGAGCTCTGGTGCCTAAATCACAAACCAAGCTCAGGTATGTTCTCCATATGAGACAAGATTTGATAAATCCAGATGGAAAATATAAAGTGGAATTCTTCTGGTTTTGGAGCAGATGTTGAACTACAGTCACACGTGCAGTAGAAAATGTTTTATGCCTGTCTCACCCTCATCTTCAAAGCACATCCTTCCCCTTGAGGTGCCAAGAGCAGCGCCCTGTGACCCTTTACTTCTTGACTAAACTGACTTAGCCAGAGGCCAGCATCCTAGCCAAAATTGACTACCAATAATGGGGCCTGGGTAAGACATCCTTAATCTTTTTTTTTTTTTTTTTAAATCTGGAAAGATTACTGTTTTGGTCATCCATATACAGCCTCTGTATCTGGAGTAGAAATTGGAAGTCTGGATTCTGAATGATGAGGTATTATTGTTTGTTTTCTCCTTTTAGACCTGACCCTAGGGTTCTTGGGTTTCCTAAATTTTCTAAGCTTTTTCTGCATCTTTAGAAAATAAGGAAAAAAAATTTCTTTTTAATCTGAAGGAATTCTTGTCTTCCTTGTAACCTGATAAAGCCTCACAAGACAAGGAGTTTGTCAGGCATAAATGTCATGCAGGCAGGGATCCCATCTATTTGTTGACATTTTATACGCAAGGCCTTAGAGAATGGGCTCAACATTAAATGAATGAAGCTTTGTGGTGATTTCTAAAAATTTTTAGTACAACTAATTCAGATGTTAGTACCAAATTGTCATTAACAGTGTTAAAGAATGGAAAATAAGGGGATTATGGTAGCTTACTTATCAAAAGGAGAAAAACAAATTTGAGTGCCTCATAAAGCCTATGTCAATAAAAAGCACAGTCATTCCTCAATATCCATGGAGGATTGGTTCCAGGACATTCTAAGAATACCAAAATCTTCAGATGCTCTAATCTCTTATACAAAATGACAAGCTTATACATAATTTATGCACATCCCTCATATATTTCAATCATCTCTAGATTTTTATAATACTAGTACAATGTAAATGCTATGTAAATAGTTGTTATACTGTATTTTAAGGGAATAACAACAAGGAAAAAAGTGCACATGTTCAGTACAGATCTGATTTTTCCCAAATATTTTCCACCCACTGTTGGATCCATTGATTCCAGATCTGCAGATAATAGAGGGCCAAATGTGACTTAATTCATGACACAAATGCAGGAAGACTAAGAACAAAGTCTCCAGGGAACCTCAGAAGGCAGGATTGTGAGATTTGGGGTAGGAAAGGCAAAGGGTTTGTTGAATGATTGTACAAAGAAGGATTAGACACCCCAAACCCACTCCCAGGTTGTGCAACCAGGTAATTACTCGTTCTCACTGTAAATGAGAAAGTAGGTGTTTATTTTCTAGATAAAATGAAACAGAGACCTGGAGACATGGGCACAGCTGAGAGTGAGACGCCGGGTTCAGATTCGTGGGGGATTGCAGGAAAGTACACATTGACAAGTCCGACAGTTAGCCCCTTTCATCTGCTCAGCTTCCACACCACAGGCTTAGCCCCCACTGGCAGAATAATGGTTCTCTTTTGGGGAGGAATTATTCAAAGAGAATTTTTCTGCAGATGCTGATACTGGGGAAAATACCAATGACACACTCTTTTTCTCCAGGAAAAGTTTCACCATACAAGTCAAGGTTCCAATAAAGCATAAGTGCTTCACTCTGCGATACAAGATAACTGCGTAAGTAAAAAGAACCAATTAAATATAAATCAATAGATGAGCAAAAGGAGGTCTAGAAGAGCAGAGGAAGGAGAATGGGGAGGGGACAGAGGACAGGAGGGCAAGTGGGGGAGATCATGAACTGAAATTGAATTCCATGCATGTGTGAGTTTGTTGGGATGAATCCAATTACTATGTATAACTATAAATCCCAAATTAACAAAAGAAAATACAAAACAACTAAGACATTAGAAGAAAACCATCAACATGAAAAGATAGCAATAAAACAAACAAAAAACACTACCAGGAAAATATAAGAATCTACAGCAAGCAGGGAACAAAATAAAATTTTGTAATAATGTAAGTATTATCCAATAAGAGAAGATATTGAATCATGAAACAAGAACAGTTAGTATAAAAAAGAAATAATAACATACATTAGCTATATAACTCCATTATCCTGTCCCACACTATTTAAAAACCTTTGATGAATACTCATTGCACTTGAAAAAATTCAGTCTCCTTGCTTGGACTTAGCATAAAATTATGCTTGCTTTTTCTCACACTATTTCTTGACCTCACCTGTGTTGCTCTCACCCTTTTGACTTCCAGTGCCACTGGACTTTTGGTTTCTCAAATTCCCTAAGCATCTTGTTCATGTTCCTCTCTCTGTTTACAGATCTTTCCTTTGCATGGCATGGCTGCCTACTGTCCATCCTTTATATTAGCCTAAACCTTTTCCCCTGTGGAGACCTCCCCTGTCTACTTACCTGGGGAAGGTTAGTCTCCCTGTTAGCTCCATCTCAGGCCCACATTTGCTTCCTCCATGGTAGTCGCTACCACTCACAACAATTGCATTTATTTCTCTGTTGACTTATTTTGTGTTTATGTGTCCCACTTCTTAAGAAATTCATGGGGGAAGAAGGATCAGGGATTGTGTCCATCCCAGATACAATTTTCCCCACAACCATCCAGAGAGAAAAGTATATACAGGGTCTTCAGTGAATATTCAAGTCATGTAGTGCAGAGGATTTTTGCACTTGGTCCTAAGCTCTGCTTCTTTTGGGGGATGGGAGAGGTTACCAGGAATTGAACCCAGGAGGGATTAACCACTGAGCTACACTCCTAGCCCCTAAGCTCTGCTTTTTACTAGCTGTGTGATCTCAGGTTACAACTTAACTTCTCTGACTCCATTTCCTCATCTGTAAAATGGGGATGCAACTGGTTACCTCTTTGTTGTGAAGAATAAATTACCTGATATATCTTAGAATAAATGTAATAAGAATTCAGAGAGAAAGCAATCTGCCTGGTACATTTAAGAGATTGTCATTAATATTAAAATTTCTTCATAGCCATCTTAAATAACTTTGAAACCACCTTTCTTATTTCCTGCTTTTTCCCCCCTCTTTATTTGTTCTTTTTAGATATCCATAACAGTAGAGTATATTTTACATACATACAAGGAGGATAACTTATTCTAATTAGGATCCCATTCTTGTGGAAACCACCTTTTTGTTTATTCACTATAGTACCATGGAAAGCAACTCCACCCTTTTTACTTTTAATCATGAATTTAGGATATGGTAATATACATTATCTAGGTGATGGTTCTTAAACTCTGAATATTATTAACTTTGCTAAATTAGCCTGTCTGTAAAGGATAATATCAGGTTAAAATGAAAAGCTATTCAATTGAAGTTCAGCTGAAAATTGGGAATTAATTGAAGTTAGTTAAAAATTCTTAATGGGTTTCATCAATATGGTGTAGTGTTGTACTTGTCTTATTAATTGATGTAGCTTAGAAGCAAGAAGCAAGATGATCTCATTAAGGAATATTGAGGCCTCCTGTAAATGCACTGAGAGGTTGGGGGCTCAAGTTCCCCAGCACTGGGGTGAGGTCTTATGACCTGTACAACAGTGGTTCTCAGACTCAGCTTGCACCAAAATTACCTGAAGGGCTTAAGATCTCAGATTACTCCAGAGTTTCTGATTCAGAAAGTCTGGTATAGGATCTCAAGTTTTCATTTATGCATTTTTCACAAATTCCCAGTTATGCTAATACTGCTGGTATGGGGGGCCTCACTCTGAGAATGCATAAGAATCTGGGGGTGAGCAGCAGGAAGATGATGCTATAGGAACTATAGGCCCCCTAAGAACAATGTCCAGCAACAATAAATCCTACAAGTTTCATTTATTCAACAAGTATTTTTTGAAGGTCCAATTAGGAAAACAGAATAGAAAAAAAAAACTACTAGAAATTGGTTATACAGGTGACAGAGGAGCTGAATAGCCAAATGGGATGTGATGAGCCCCGAGAAGAACACTCCTAGACCTCTGGGACAGGAGGAGGTAGTGTTGCTGCAATTCAAGGGCAAGGAGCCCTAGGAAAGCTGGAACCACAGTGGGGCCTGTCTGGAGAAAGTGCAGCCATGGAGACAGTGCAGTTGCTACAAAAGATGTGGCCCTGGATGGACAGAAAAGGAGAGACTAAACCCATTAATTACTATGCACCACATTTGGCTGTCTCTACACATGTCTGTGCACATTTACAGAGCAGAGCAGAGCAGAGCAGAGCATGGATCTGAGAACAGACAGACACAGGGCCTTCCCAGAGGGACTCCCAAATAGTGGTGGATAAGACAGAAATGGTCCCTGCCTTCAATGAGGTCATGGTCTAATGGAGTGAATGCACAGAGCCTGGAAGCCCTCTAAGTACTGGGTTCCATAGGTCTTGATGCTCTCTAGGGAAGCATTATGGACTGAATATTTGTGTTCTCCCACGCTCATTCGTACATTCCAATGTGATGATATTTAAAGTTTTGGGCCTCTGGGAGGGTTATTGGGCAGTGAAGATGGAGCCCGAATGAATGAATGGTATTAGTGCCCTTAGAAGAGGCCAGAAAGTTAGCTCTGGCTCTTTCTGCCATGTGAGGATGTGAGAAGTCAGCAGTCTGCAGCCCAGAAGGCCCTCAGCAGAACCACCACCACCGCTCCCCCCCCAGGCTGGCACTCAGCTCGCAGGTTCCAGCTTCTGGAACTATGAGAATTGAGTTTCTGCTGTTGATAAGCCTCTTGGTCTGTGGTCTTTTGTTACAGTAGCCCAAACAGATTAAGAGAAGAAGTATTTAAGTAAGTCGATTATGTCATTTTATAGATAAAGATATGAAAAGTAAATTTATCTACAAGAGAAGCTTTTAAAATGATTAAAATTATAATTGTCACGTAATACATTCTTGCTTATCTGTTTAGGAAGGGAGTTATGGAAAGAAAAAATTTTCTTTTGCCCAAAAAACCATATTTTGTATGAAATTAATGTTTTGAAATGGCAAAGCTTTAGAAGTGGCAGGGTTATCTTTTGAATTTATGAATATTTTTACTGTCATGTAAGTTACATTAAAATTAATAGAAGCCGAGGATGTCTAGTGAGAGGGAAGGAATGGATCCCTCACTGAGCTTTTGTTAGGGACTGTAGTTGTGCTGAGAAATGGAATTTAGGTATGATGCATAATCAAGCATGAATTAGAAGCATGGCAGAGTGGGGTCTACAATAAAAACACATGGCTGTTTTTCATAGTTCAAGTGCTCTGCTCTGCTCGACATCCAAGAATTAAGCACTTAAATCAGATATCTTTAAGTTCTTGCCAGAAAAACTCTGTATGTCTCTTGTAAGCCTGATTTCTTGAGGAGGGGGAGGGTGGGTGGTAGTATCACAGAACTGTTCCTTTGAATGTTGTTCCTGTGGAAATTCATTTGAACGACATTGACATTTGGGGGAAAAGATTCTGTGAGGATATGAGATAACTGCAGAAGTGTTTGCTGGCTGTAGTCATATGGTAATGATATCAGCTTTGCCTGGGAAAAACGACAGCATAAAATTCAGCTGATTTGCCTAGGCAAAATGACATGAGATTGCATGTATTTGTCTAGAGCATTCTGATAATAGCATTAGAGGGCTGGATTTTGTTTCTAGGACAACTAATTTGGAGACATAGTTCACACTTGGTATATCATTGCAGTGGTAAACAAGCATCAGGAAACGTCTTGTCCTTCTTTAGGATGAGACATTGCTGAGTTGCTTATACAGGGTAATGACATATTTTCCTCACAATCCTCCAATCTTAAGTGGACCATCTATGCATCTCACTTCTAGGTCATCAATTGAGCTCATCTTATCTTTGTGGAGATAATAAAGCAGTGCCTATTAGTAAAAGAGCTTTTATTTTTCTCATGACAAGACTGAGTCAATGCTAACCCACAGGCGCAGGTGCGCTTCACATGGTGAAATCGAAGTGTTCCTGAAAGGATGTGTATAAAGTGAGTCATTTTCCTATTGGCTTATATTATCTTGTCAAAGATATTATACCTTCCTTCCAGACTGAACTTTAATTAGCTGTGAACACTTTAACTCTTAGTTTGTCTTTAGTCCTATGCTCTTTTTCAGAGAAGTTCTTCACATTCATTGGTAACCTGAACAACCCAAAATTAGCCAGGAAACTCCACAATTTGAAAGATCCTTATATTCAGATATGTAACTGCCCTTCTCTTGGTGGAAGGCATTCCTGTAAATAATAAAGATGTTTACCTTTTGTTGGAGAAGTTAAATCCAGTCCATGTGAATTGAATGCACAATGAGCCCTGCTGGCTCTCTTTGAGTAGGCAAGGACTCCCCTTTGGCCACGAAAATATGATGAAGTCATGGGCATATGTCAATTATTATCCATCTGGGAGAAACACTTTCCAGCTGTAGGAAAAGCTCAATATTCTGATACTTTTAAGATTCTGATTCTTTTCTCTGTGGAAAGATGATGAGGGACTACTATACAGAATACACATATGTTCAAAGTCTTATCTTCATGTATTTATAATGCACTCTCTTGTAGGGCTCTTGTGAAGACTGGTAATCATATACACTCAATACCTACCATAATGCATATGTATAATTGGTACTCAAATGATAGTTATCATCATTGTCTTCATCCTCATTTTCATTATCATCATCATCATCATCATTAGAGTTATTGATATCTCTTTATTGCCACTAGATTTGGAGACTTAT